TGACACAGTGGCTGCAACCATGGACTCAAACATAGCAATGATTGTGAGGATGGTGCAGGACCGGGCAGTGTTTCATCCTGTTGTACACAGGGTCGCTATGAGTAGGAAGCAACTCCACAGCACCTAACAACAGGGGGACAAAAGTGGCCCTCAGACTTTTTGAGGAAGCAAATTCTTGAAAGTCACATGAATAGAAAATAAACTTAAAACAACTGATGTAATTTTCTGCTGTGTTAAACATTTTAACTAGATTTTAGTATGTTGTTGTTTGGTGGGAACAGGTTGTGGCTGCTATGGAGATAAAGGGAGCTATTTCCCTGACCTCCAGGTCTGATTGCTTCTTCAGAATGTCCATTTATTTGCTTGTTTGTTTTTTTCACTTTTTCAGAACATAGTTATTGAGCTCCTACTCGGTGTCATGCATTGTGCCGGGCATCTTATCTCCACCACCCTCACATTTTCCCCTCCCTCACATTTCGAACTCCAATTTCAAATGCCAGTGGGCCATGGGGAGGGTACAGGACTACAGGCTCTGACCCTACAACAGACTACTTTGGAGCTACTGGTTGATCATGATTGACTTTTTGGAGACCTCTCCTTTACAGTTTGATAACATCTGAGACAGATTTTTCCCCAGCCTTACCCAAGGGAATTTATTTAAATGAGAGACCAAAGTCAAGAAGCAGAATGTAAATAAGCAGAGAAAATCTCCTGGCCTGTCATTAATTTTCATCTCTCTGTGATTTGCAAGGGCTCTGTAAGAAAAAGCATAAACCTGTCAAGTGTCCTGAATTTGCAGCCCACAGTAATGAATACTTTGTTGTGTAATAAAACTTGACATGGCTATGCATAATCAATGAGACGTTGTTAATTCTTAAGTTCCCTAATCACTGAAACTATGTGTTAACTATCTGTAAATGAGTGAAATAAGCATTTTTGTGAATCTAAAACCAAAAAATCCAAACCTATTGCCATCAAGTTGATTCCCATTTATATTGACCCTATAGGACAGAGTGGAACTGCCCCACAGAGTCTCCAAGGAGTGGCTGGTGGATTCGAACTGTTGACTTTTTGGGTAGCAGCTGAACACTTAACCACTGCACCACCAGGGCTCCCTTTTGTGAATCTAGAAAGGAAAAACAACAACAATAACACCTTGACATGACTTAGCAGATATAGTAGCCAGGTTGGGAATCTTCTGTTCTTGTTTGCCAGAAAGGCTGCCACAGAATAAACAATTTTGCCAGAAAACCCCAGAGTAGAATTCTTCAGAAGCCAATTTAGAAAAACTTAACTTTGCCTTGATTTGATTCTGTGTAAAAGGTTCAGCGATGGCCCTGCCTAGAAGTCAGGAGACCTTGTTTCTCGTCTTAGTCCTGCCAGTACTCTGCCATGTCTCCTTGGCCAAATAACTTACCCTCTCTGGGACTCAAGTTCACCATCTGTAAATTCTCGGCCAGCTCTGCAGTTCTATGACTTGTGATTCTAAGATTATTCATTTCTTTGAGCTGCCCTTAATTCTATGGAAAGGAAATTTGAATCCAACATTAAATACACAAAACAGCTGGAACAGGGGTTGGCAAATGTTATATAAGAGACCAGACAATAAATATTTTAGGCTTGTGGGCCATATGGTCTCTGTCATAAATAGCCGACTCTGCTATAGTAGAAGGAAAAGAAAGTAGCAATAAAAATACCTGTTGCCGTCTAGTCAATTCCAACTCATAGTGACCCTATACGACAGAGCAGAACTGCCTCATAGGGTTTCCAAGGCTGTAGATCTTTACGGAAACAGACTGCCACATCTTTTTCCCATGGAGCGGCTGGTGGGTTAGAACCACCGACCTTTTGTTTAGCAGCCAAGCGCTTAACCACTGCACCACCAGGGCTCCTTTGAAAGTAGCCATAGACAGTATGGCTGCGTTCCAACAAAACTTTACAAAACTGAAATTTGAATTTCATATAATTTTCAGGTGTCAATTTTTCTTTTTATGGTTAAAAAAAAAAATCAAAAGAAGAATGGCACTCCTGCTCGGGTGAAAAGCATGAGCAAAAGTCTGTAGGTGGGATGGGGCAAAGAATTTGGCGAGCATCACAGAATAAACAATGGTTTGCAGTGGGATCTATGGTTGGAAAATAGATTGGGAACTGCTTGTAGTAGACCTTGAATGTTAATCCAGAGTCAGGAGGGCTTTATACTGGTGGTGAGGAGGCACCCCCGGAGTTTAAAAAAAAAAAAAAGTAGCTAGCTACGACTTTATGTATGACCATCATTGTCACAT